ACAAAATGATGAATTTTGATCCCAAAACTTAAAATATAACAAAACAAATGGAGTTTTGATAACTTCTTTACCATTAAATATAATAAATATAAATTAAATATAAGTTTTACTACATGAAACATTTAGTTTTGTTTAAAATTTATTTTTAAAATAACTTTTGTTCTTTAATACTTTAAAATTGATGTATCGACTAATAAAAATAAAAATTAATAATACCTTATATAACTCATTAATAATCTAGTATTGTTAGAATCTTATTATAATAGTTATAATGTTAATAATATAACTGTTATGACATGAAAAAATAAAATCGTAAATATATGATAATTGTTGTGTTTGCAGAGAGAAAAAAAATTAAAAAAACCTCATTTTAATCCAAGATATCATCAAAAAACTGTACGGATGTAGAAGTATATATATATATATATATTAGATAAATGACAGGTATCACAGCCTATTCTTTTTTAACATGTGAAAATTTAAAAACTTTGTTCAAAAACTAGTCAGCGAATCTGGATATGAAGTGTGGGCAACTTTGGACCTTTATTATCAGTCGGCAAATTTCGGTAAACGAGGATTTTTTTTAACGTCACGCTTGAGTCATTAGTCGGTAAAAAATAGGAACGTCATCCTCCTCCTCCCCTTCCCCCGCCCAACCCATCCTCCTTCCTCATCATCTTTTAATATCTCTTCGGGACGGACCCTAATAATAGGTAATATAACATAAGATTTTTGAATGTTATATGATATTAATATATTTTTGATTACGATAAAGAATAAATACATGTTTTAAGCGTGGCTTAACAGCAATTCTGCAATTCAACTTTTAACACAACTTTTTAAAAGAGAATTTTACAGTCAGAAGTATTAAAGTTACTTTCAAATTTGAACCAGCTGCGACAAGTTGTTACAATATTTACTTCATTAAATTTGAAGTTTGTGATAAAAAGGTTTGTAGAAACCTGGTGTGTGTTTTTTTTTTAATTTCCTTCCTTACCGATGTTATAAAACTCCTTCCTTACTGATGTTATAAAACTTTCCCAGAGGTAGCGCTGAACCACGGAGCTCTAGCTTCTAAGGCTAGCGCGCTAACCACTGCGCTATGGCTATTCAAAACCTGTATTAATATGTCTATTTCAGATTGTCTTAAAGTTAACAAGATTAATTAAAAACATCTTTAGCACTTTTGCTAAAGATGTTTTTAAACTTATTTAAACATAAAAATTTTCAACTTTTACTGGATTTGATGTTGGTTATTGTGATTATGGGCCTATCTGGTCATGGAGGCTTCCATGCATATTCATACTATGATAGTTAAACGACTATAAAAAAAGGAATTATAAGAACGTGCGGAAACATTGATCCTCATCTCTTTGAATTTCAAGCGGAAAAAAAGATAAAGCATAGCTGCATGAAAATGTTACTTCAAAAAGGCTTAATCATCTTAATAAAGATTTAGAAGTTAGAATGATAAGCAAAATTTCTCCGTCATCCTTTTATATATTTTAATGTTCTTTGTACAAATTTTAATCAGTTGTTGTCTTGAAAATACATTCTCAGACATAGGTATCACGGATGAGGGTTTGATGGAATGAACTATAACAAGGCATAGTATTATCTAAGATACCTAGAGGTTTCATTGTTAAACAATTGTCCACAAGTTCTTTCTATAATTACATGTTTAAAAGATTGAAAAAAGTTACCTACAAGAGTTTGCAAAAAACTATAAAAACACCTTAGCCATAATAGTAGTATTAAAATGCTGCAACATTTTCCTGTATAACCCATAGCCTATGCAGCCTTATCTACTAAATATATATATATATATATATATATATATATATATATATATATATATATATATATATATATATATATATATATATATATATATATATATATATAACATTTATAATATATATAAATATAATTTAAAATTCACATGTAAGTATAGTATGAAGTATAAAGTACATTAGTATTTTCATTTAATTATAAACTCGGTACTTATCTAAATTATTCAAAATTTCTGCATCGAGCTTAGTTTTGCAACTGTTAACAGATATAGCGCATACAACGTCTGACGGCAATGCATTCCAATGATTTACTACTCTGTTTGTAAAAAACTGATGCCTTTGCTTGCAATTATATTTGTATTATCTCGTCAATTTTAGGCAATGTCCTCTAGTTTTTATTGGATTTGCTACCCCAACACAAAAACATAGGGTTCCCACCATAAGACAATGTTTATCTTGTTAACAATTTAATACGCTCGTATCAGATCTTCTCTAATTTGACGTTTGTTGTAAAGTTAAATTTAATTAATTCAAATGATCTTGTATGATAGTCGACGCAATGAAGGTATCAAACGGATAGCTCTTTTTAACGCTTTCTCAATTTTATCAAAATCCATTCTTTACGATGGATTTCTAGCTGTTACTGCGAATTCAAGATACGATACGTACAAACGTTGTGTATAGAATTTTAAGAAGTTATGGAGTCATGAGGCTGAATTTACGATACAACATACCTAGAACGAAGTTGGCTTTATTGGTTGCATAGACTCAACTATAATGCCACTTTATAATATGGAAGGTTTGCATACTATCAGCCCAAGTTTTTACTTTTTGTAAAGAAAATCAATGTGGTCTAGCCAAATTTGAAAAACAGACTAATAAAACAATCTGTTCAAAACTAAAACCAACTTGGGCAAAATATGTAAGAGCTGTAAGCATGGAGAATTATGGTATTCTCAGATATTCTCAAATTTTTCATCGAGACGAAGATAAATATGTAGGTTGAAAACATAATTAACTTTGAAAATATTATGTTGATGTTTAATTAAAGGTTTAGCTCTTTAGAAATAACTATATAAAATTTTTTTAAAGATTTATCTTTTACCAGCAAATAATTGAGAAGCAAACAACGTAGCATTGTAAGGTAAAATAAAAGTTTCTAGCAGAAAAGTTCTTAAAAATATTTAAAAGTATTTTTCACTTTCCTCCTTCTGCCTAAAAATGCATCTCTAAATTTTAAAAAGGTATAGTTTTTAACTTTGAAATAAATATCTAAATGATGGCATACTTTCCTAGTAGGATAAAACACAGTGTGATGTGGTTAAAAAAAAAAAAAAAATTTAATTGAAAAATAAATTAATCAAACGATTGGCTGTATACACTACCATCCATAATTATTCAAATGGCCGTACTTTTCGATATCAGATATCAAAGTTTTATTTGAATTATATGTTATCTCCCTTTTTATATGGTTTACAAAAAAATTAATATTAAGTCCTTAGCGACAATAACCGCTATACATATTCTTGACATTCTACTTAACAACTTATCCAAAGCTCCATTGGATAAGTTTCATCATTGATGGTCCATTTTTGTTGTAGTTTTTCCCACTTTAGCATTTTTATTATCCTTATGATCTTTATTAAAGGATTTTAAACCAAATTATTTAACTTTTAAATTATATATTAATGCAAAAATAAACATAAAAAATTATATTTTTAAAAAAAGGTTAATGCCATTCGAATAGTTATTAACGGTAGTGTATATGATTTTATTATACAATCAGAGCTGTTTCAGTATTGTTGTCATTTCGTTATCGTTGTTTCTTTAGTCAGCAATATGATTTGTTTAAATTAACACAACGTTTTATTTGATACAGGCATTTTTAAAAGATTTTACTGCATAACAGAAAAGCATAGCACATATAAAACGTTATAAATGTTAGATTTAATGTAACGTGATATTTATTAAATTATTTCTACTTATTCAAACCTTACTTAACAAAGGACAACAACTGAAATGAAAGCCATGGTCACTATTTTTTTAGTATAGGACTGCTCATAGTCACCCCGTATAATGAAAGCAATGACGAGTTATCTATGGCCAGTGTGAGAAGTTGTATTTATCTTGATTTATTATATATAGAAAACTTTTATTCAGTGTGTTACACATTATTTTTTTAAGAATAAGTAATAGTGCAACACTTGCTTGCTCTGAGTGACTGACTGGGGATTACCATTTCACACCATAGGTCTACCATTTCACACCATAGGATTACCATTTCACACCATAGGTCATCATAGGTCATCGGTTTTGCTTGACTGTCATACAGTCAAGCAAAACCGGGAACAAGAGAGGAGAAATGAACCAAAGTTTAAAAATAAATTTCCTGGAAAGAATTGGTTATACAGCTTCATGCAATGTCAAAAAAAATTCTATAAAAAACAGACTATGCCAGAATATTAGCAAGAAGAAAGCTAATATCAGTGAAACCACTTTTGAACAATATTTCACACATTTGTAAGCTAGCAATCTTAATGTGACACCTAACAATATAGCAATGTTTATCTTTTTATCTGTTTATCTTTTCATGCATGTTTTTTTGGCTATTAAAAATTTAATCAAAAAACTGTTAATACCTTCTGTTTTATGTGTTTTACTGTTAATTTAAAAGGTTTCCTGTAAGTTCTACATATGTGCATTGACAAAAATGTTGTCTAACCCTTCACCAAACAATATCCATCACTTAGCTATAATATATACAGTTGATTTATTGTGGCTAAAGTCAAACCTGTGAGGGGTGAGAATTAGTTAAAATAGTGAAAATCAAAAGCGGTCAAGTCACCCGAGCCGGGTTGACTCTAGCCACCCTATAAATAGCTCTATTGCAAACAAAAAAACAAAAACAAAACATTAAATATGAAAAATATTCATATTTGTATTTTGAGGCCTGGCTAGTCCTTATAATTTACTATTAGTTTTACGTTTATAAAGTGATATCTATTTAAGTTATTTAGAAAAAATGTTTGGAAGTCCACTTCCAAATATTACTGTAATAAAAATTTGAATTCAATAAAAATTGATTCATTGGAAGTAAAAGTTTGTCTCCTTTTTTTTTTTTTTTTTTTTTTGTTGTCTCTAATCTGAGCGAAATTTTTTTTTAAACTTGCCTAAAAATATAATTTGATTAGGTATTTAAAAATTTACCTCAAGCAGGGCGTAGAGATCAACAGGGTTACCATGTTTACATTGGTTTTTACACTTTTAAACATGAAGCAAACTCCAACCTTTTGTGCGTCCTTACTTTTTCACGAGAATGTTTTGACGTGACTGAAACATTTTATCAATGAAAACTCCAAAACATTTAGAATCAAATATCTTTCTAAAAAAAAAAAAAAAAGTTAATGTACTGTATTTATTTGGTGACTGCATCGTGTTTTTGCCTTTTATTTTATTTTGTATTTTTGACGCTATACTTAAAATCTTAACCAAAATTACAGAATAGCACAACTGAGTAAAAAAAATAATAAAACAGAATTTTCTAAGGTTAGAACTAGGAGTATTTTAGTGTATTACTTAAACTCTCAAGTACATAGAAAAAACACGAGTTAAAATTTAAACTAAATTGTTTTTTTGTGTAACTAGCAAGTTGGCTCTTGTTATCACCTGAAGAACCATGCCCAACCTAGGTTTTAGCAATGCTGAACTTCGATAAAAAGGATATCAATCGGCTATTTCGTTTCTCCTGATGATAGATAATGATCCTTCCGATGAATCATTAAATCAACATTGCTTTTCACTGTCTTAGAAGCAAAGAAGCTGAAAGTTGAAACCCTATTTATAACTTTTGACGAACCCCTTTGGTTAAAAACATTTAATATTTTACATGTAGAAAATTTCCCTGCTATTTGCATTCTTGTTGGCTTTCATATATTTATTAGTTTTATTGAAAGCATTGGTACGCTTATAAACTAAGTCTTGAAGATTTTGTCGTCGAGGAATATGCAGAAAATTACGACAGTGAAATAATATTAGGAAAATCTATCAAAAGAGAAAAAAGGGCATGCTTTTCATTAGCAATAATGTCATTACTAATAAAAGAAATCAAACGAAAAAGTGAAGAGAAGTTAAAAAATGTGCATCAAATTTTTTACGTGATATACCTGAAGAAATCACTGGTCAATTTTTTAACCTATAAAAATTTTTTTCCAAAAATAATTAAAATTGACTAGAATATTTTTCGTCTTTAGCTTATTTTTTTATTTATTTATTTGAAGAGGTTTTAGAATAAATTTTTACGAAATTGGTTGAGAAAGAAATGCTCCAGAAAATTTAAATAAAAAAAAAAGTAAAAATACTTTTCTTTAGGTAAAAACGCATTTGCTCAGAATGAAACATATGCATTGACTCAAAACTTAAACGCAAGCATTGAATCAGAATTAAAACTCATGCATTAGCTCATATTCTCATTTTTTCAAAACAAAAAAAAATTGCTGTTACAAAAGTAGTGATGAAAAATTTTAAACAACTGTTTTCGATGGTAAACAAAATGTACTGTCATACTTTATTTAAATCTAATTTATGTTTTAATAATTGATTATCAATTATAACATTCATTACCTTATTACTTTACAAATTATTATTCAGGATAACGTTAGCTTTCACTTGAAACCTCGAAAGTTAGTGGGTTAAAAATTTTAATATACAAAAACTAAAAATTTTTGTGCTAAACATTACTTTTTTAAAAAGTTTCAATTACCGTTAGAGCCATCGTAAGCGTTATTATATGACAATAATACAGTTGAAGTATATATCATGAGACAAACTATTGATAAAAGAATCACCATGCAAGATAACTTAATCAAAAAAATTTTAACGCGTTTTTAGAATACAAATACTACGAGCTTTGTAAAAGATTGTTTATAATCTTTTAACTAGAAAAAAACTGACAAATAGTCAGTTTTTTCTGGTTAAAGAAAATAACTTTTTTATATACTGAAAATGTAATAAGAGTATTAAATTATGGGTTATGTGCATACTAAATGTTTTTAGTTAGCTTTTTTTTTCTTTTTTTTTCTTTTTTTTTCGTAAAAAAATTAAAAAGTTTGTTGTATAGTAGATTTAGTGTAAATAATATGTACTTGTTAACATTGATACTTCTAATGTAAAAGAAAAATCTAAACAAAATATATATAAGTTAAATAAACACAAATTTACCTAATACTTAAAGATTTATCTGGCATTAAACAGTTAACATAGAACAGTGGTAAAAAATTGTAAAAAAAAAGCTCTTTGTCAATTAACATCAATAAAAATAAATGAACAATGCAACCATTATGTAAAATATGTTGAATTAATGTCATAAGATAAGATTTATAATAGTAAGCTTTTTTTTTTTTGTCTTTTTTGTTTTTGTTTTTTTTGTTCGTAATAAGAAAAACATTTAAATATTACTACTATAGTTTTATAATGGATAAGATTTAAAAGCTTGCTTTTATTAATATTGTCGGGGCTGATCTAGCCCGTATCATATTTTATATGTACAGCCCCGTATATGGGGCTGGTTAGCATCAAGGGTAACTTGACAATTTTATTTAACCTTAGAGTCAGAAATTACCTGTAGTCATCCTAATTAACTCTTTTGTGCTACACAGCAGCAGTGTTAAATTTCGTGACAAATCGATGTCACACTGTGACTCGCGTATTTTGTGCTATATCTGTAAATAAAATTTAGGAAAATTAAAATTTTCATAATATTTTTTTATATACAAATAAAAGTTATGAAAAGTTTAATTTTTATAATGCAGTTAGGTTATTTCAATATTATAATGAAGTTTTTTTTTTCAACGTAAATTCTATAAACTTTCGTTCTTTCGATTAAAAACGCATTATTGCGTCGCAGGGAAAATGCTGTAAAGATATTGTAATTTACTTCTCTCTGTACTTTCCCAGGCAATGATTGTATAATTTATATAATTGTGTATAAATGAATAAAAAGTTGTTTCAAGTTTTTTTAGTTTAAATAACTTTCGGCTATGTATAAAATACCAATATTTTTGGAAACTTTGGTACTTACATGATAAATTTTTCCAAGAAATTTATCATCAAGATAAACACCTAAGAATTTTATAACAGTATTACTTTTTATTATAATTTCATCAAGATAAAATTGAAGCATATTATTTGGTAGAAAACATTATTTTTTGCGTAGGAGTGAAAAATCAATACATTTTGTTTTGTTAGTATTTAAAGTTATTAGCTTGGAACCAATTAGATTGAATATATAAATTTATTAGCTTGGAACCAATGCGCTTGAATATATAAATGCGTTACATGTAGAACAATAATAACCCTCGGAGTTTTCATCAGTTTTGTTTTTTTTATTATTTTTTATTTTTTTACTATTTTAAAAAAAAGCACAAGTATGCTATCATAGGCAAACACTATCATAGGCTTCTATGATGGCAGAGGGGAGGATGGGGCTGCTTAGGATCAAGGGTAACTTGATGATTTCATTTAACCTTAGAGTCTTCCCTCAGAAAAGCCAGAAATTACTCGAAACCATCCTAATTTACCATTTCATGCTACACGCCAGCATAGTAAAGTTTCGCGCCTGCGCATAGGATATATTGCGTTATAGGTATTTTTTGGACCAAAAAAAAACTTTTAGATCATCGCTTTCTTTTTACTTTACTTAAAAATAAGTTTTTCTTATATATATAAAAAAAAGGTTTCCCAACGAGTTGAACTCGTCAATATTGCAACACGCCCAACTCGTCAGTATGCCATCACAGGAAGAAATTATCATTTTCATTAAAACACGTCGTCTTTGCCTTGTTTAAAAGATAAAATTTAAGTAAGTATTCTACTAAATGCATAAAACTATAGATTTAAAATGCATGAAAATTCCCTTCCTGCACAGTTAATAATAAATTCACAATTTTAAATATATGAAGGCAAAAAAACTACAACAGCACATCCCAAAATCAATTTTTGTTGATTATAAAAACAAAATTTGTGCACAAGGGACTTATTTACACTAAAACTAATGTAAAGCCAGTATAGTCATGTAGGTCTAATCACTTTTTCACCAAAACCAATTTGTGGAACTATTTGTGAAGTTATGACCAGTATGCCATCATAGGCGCTATGCCATCATAGGCGCCTTTCCCCTACTAATTTATTATTACTAATTTTTTCTACCTTAACATTCAACCTTCATTTTAAGCCTATCGTTATTAATTTTTAAGCAATAATGTCAGTAATGCATGCTCATAAAAACCAGCTCTTTTTATAACGCTATGTAAAGCTTGTTAGTTTCACTCTAACTTAATAACTGTTATAAAATGTAGCGTTTATATATTTATGCAGTTATCCAGTCAATCTGAGCAGAGACAACTCAAGGAAAAAAAATGAGGGTAGGGGCAAAATCATTGAAAATCGCTTTCTTTAATGGTATCACACCCTCCCCCGCACACACACACACCGCTATCTTGAAAACCATTCTCCTTGAAAAACTAGACAAAACCACTCCTCATCATTTATGACATCTTTTTCAATCAAGCATTTTACTGACTTTTTTTTTTTTTTTGTAAATGCTTTTTAGTTAATTTTTATATTTAGATAATTTTGTCTTCTCTTTTTCTATAGTAACTCAAAACATGACGTACTTTATTAACAGATCATTACATTGTAAGGACCGGCAAAATTGATCCGAATTTAATTGGAAGACAAACTTCAACCGTATGTGTACCCTGAATTCAACTACAATCCGAATTGGGACTTTTAAACTGAGTTTAACTGAAAGCCGAATTCGGAATTTTATACCAAATTTAACTTGTCTTATTACATTTTTATTGATAATTTACACATATAATTGTTAGTTATGTTTACAATATTATCAATCAAAATTTTCATTTAACTTTTTTTAAAGTTTTTAAAAAAACATTAACAAAAGTAACAATGTTCATTCAAAAATTACGATCGTCAATTTTATAAAAGAAAAAGACGATTTTTTTATAAGCAAGAATTAATAAGTGATAAATCAGTGACATCGCGTGGTTAAAGAAGACTTTTTGGTTAATGATTCTGTAAGACACCTTTATTTATAATATGTCATATGATTTAAAATTGTTTTTAATTAAAATTAAAAACATATTTTTTAATTAATAAAAGTTAACAACTTTCGAATTTAACTGAAAGTTGAACGAAATTTTGCAATAGACAGATCCCGAATTCCAATGATGAAATGTTGGGGCAATGATAATTCCAATGGTAATGTTATCTGAAATCAAGGCAAACCATGACAAAATATAAATTTTCAAAGAAAAACATTTAATTTCTTTCTTTTTCTTTTTCTTTTTTTTTTTTTTATTACAAAAAGGTGTTTTGCTTAGGAACATGGTGCTTTTATGAAATTTTGTTTATTGTTGTTAATCTTAATAAAGTTTTTAATGTTAATCATTGATAATAATTGTTAATAAATGGTGTTATTAATCTTAATAATGATCAAGCGCACTTAACTAAAATTAAGTGCACTTGATCAGTTTTTTATAACTCTTGTTTATTTTAAAAATGAATTTGCACTTTCTTATATTGGATGGTTGCTTAAGTTGCCAAAAACAACAGTATCAAGACAGATATTATCCTAGATTAATTATTTGTAATTTACACTTAGTAGGATACCTATTTGGCCTTCTAGAGAACAAATTGACTTGACTATGCTTGAATGTTTTAAAAGAACATACCCAAGGACAAGAGGCATTATTGATTGCACTGGTTGTTCTGTAAAATACCATCATCTATAAATATTTATAGTACTATGTAAGGTGGGTGTGGGTATTAAGGCCCAGCGGGTAATAAGGCCCACTAATCCAAACTTCGGGAAAATATAAATTGCGAAACTTTTTTTCGACATTAAAATACTAGAATTATCTGGTTTTATCACTGGCAGCAAAAAAAAATCAGCATTTCTTTACCGCGCGTTTGACAAAGCAAGATTACTTCGTTGATTCGGTCAATAATTGCTCAAGTCTAATTTTTAAGGTACGTATTTTCACACTTTTAAATATTTTATAATGCTTCTATTTTTTTCAAATGCATTTATTTTTATTAAGTTCTTATTCGTTATCATTACTCAACATGTAATATTTATGCAGGTGTTGAAACAAAAGTACACTTTATCGATAAACATGGCAGGTCCAAAGCGGGTAATAAGGCCCACTAATCTTTGTGGGCCTTATTACCCGCTTTTTTTATTATTATCCAAAATCCTTGGTCCTTCACCAACTTCAGTCACTGAACCCAGTCCCTCAACAGCTCCAGTCGATCAACGTGAATCTTAAAGCAAGTTTCAATGATTTAATGCCGAGTCCTGCTAAAAAGAAAAATATGGCTATGGTCAGTCGCAAAAAAAGTTTTAACTATGTTGCTAAAGCCCTGAAGAATAAAGATTTTCAATCTTCCACTTCTAAAGCTGTTAAAAAAAAGAATAAGGGCAAAGGAAAAGTAAATTTTTCTAAAAACCTGACGAAAGATGATTCTCAATCTTCCATTTCTAAAGCTGTTAATAAAAATAATAAGGGCAAAGAAAAACCAATTGCAAAGAAAAGTAAGTCTGTATGTGTGGATGTGAATGATTGGTTTTGTTTGTTGTACCAGCAAAAGTCTGTAGAGAGTATGCGACAATGTTGTAAATATAAAGTATGGTACCATGAGGCGTGCATGGGGTATGTTTCTGAAGGGTATGATTCTGAAGATAAGGAAGAGTTAGTATGTCCATTTTGTGAAGATTAATGTTTTTCTTTTTAACATTTCTTTATTGAATTTTTTAATTTTCTGTTGTTATTCACTGTTGTATAAAAAATTGGTTTTTTTAAAGTATATAATGTGCAAGATTACTTATTATTTTATAAATGTGAGATAAACTATGCATTAAAAGAATGTTTCCAAACTTTTTTCTAGTTTTTATTTATTTATTTTTTGTATTTTTTACATGGGCCTTATTACCCCACTAGAGGGTAATAAGGCCCACTTAAGGCATGTTAAAAAAAATGAATACTTTTTGTTGTAATTAAATTCTTAATATGAAGAATTTTTACATCAAGGAATAATCTTATGCAGCAATCAAAAATATTTTTTTAAACTTAATTTTTATGGCTTAAATGACCAAAAGTCTGTTAGGTGGGCCTTAATACCCATACCTATCTTATTTAAGTTACAAAAGTCATATGATTTTTTTAAGTAACATATGTTACTTGCAATAAAATATCTCCTTCTGGTGCTATAATATTTGTAATTCAGTTGTATCCAGGATCATTATCAGATAAGGAAATAGTACAAAGAAGCAGACTTTTAAATAAAGATTTATGGGTTAAAGATGATTCAGTAATTGCAGATAGTGGGTTTACAATTGAAGAGGAAATAGCAAACATAAACGTAAGTCTAAACATCCTTTTGTTTTTAAAAGAGTGAAACTAATTTAGATTAGCTGAGGTTAAAGAAAGCCAAACTATTTCCTCTGTACAAATACATATAGAGCGTGCTGTTCTAAGTATAAAGGTGAGTTTCCACTCATCCGTTTTTTCACAGGAACGGGATAGGAAAGGGAAAAATAATCACGTGAGCATGCGTAGTTTTCCTTCGGACAAATTAAAACTTATATTACGCATGCCCACGTGATTATTTTTTCCGTCCCTTTCCCGTTCCCGTGAAAAAA